AGTTGAAGGAGGCGGACTGCTTCATGTACAGGGGCAGTGTTGAGTCTCCAGGCGGTGCTGTTTAATGTACGGGGGAAGATCATTCCTCAAGACTAAGCTGTGTTTCATTCTAACCAGGTAAGGCCCATTGAGCTATGAGCTTCTTCAAAAGCGACCTGGCTATTAGTGGCAAGAAAGCTCCCATGATGAGGCTGCTCACCACGAGCTATTAATGCCCTGATAGTGGCGTTGGCTTGGTGCTGTTCGCGTTTTGGCGGCCTCCGGTCTAACACCGTTTGAGACGAGGCCCTAAAGGAAGCCGTCTCTGGTGTGGACCAATCAGTTTCAAAGACGATGCATCATAGACGAGGACCAGAACGTGTGTTGTTGGTTCTTTCGGTAAAGTCAAGGCGCTTTAACTCTCACACCTAGCTATAAAAGACGCCGCGAATCTTAGCAGCGTTCATTGAGGCGCTCAGCTGATTGGAGAGTATATAGAGTTCATTGGTAACATTGATGTAGTGTATATTTTAGTTTTTTTTTATTAGTTTACTATATGGTGTTCATTCTATAGTGTAGTGTATACCCAGTTACAATATGTTTATAGCGCAACTTATTGAAGAATATATTGAGTACATTTATTATTTTGATGTAGTTTATATTTCGTTTTTTCACATCGGTTTTATTGTATGATAGTTGGGTAGATGCAGTCCTTTAGCGTCCATATACTAAATGCCTCTGTTGAGATGTAAACTTTGACTTTAACATAGCTATTTCCGTGACCAGTCACATGCTAATCCCTCACATTAACATCAGGCTAATCTCCCAGCTACATGCTAATTTATGACTTTAGCACCCTGCTGATCCAACACTTTAACACAGCTATTTCGATGCTAAATTCTCTTGTTTGATATGTAAACTCTTTACCTCTCCCACCCAGCTTAAAAGACGCTGCGAATCTTAGCAGCGTTCATTGAAGCGCTGTCGTCCCGACAGTTGTGTTCCTTCACCTGAAGAAGGCTACTTGTGTTGTGGCCGAAACGTCGTGGGAATTTTATTTTTTTATTGTGTTTTATTTTATTTCCATTCTACGTGGTGACTTTACCGAAAGAACCAATAAGACGAATCCCTGCAGTCACGAAAGCTTTAAATCGAGACCAGAACGTGTGTTGTTGTTTGCGTGTTCATCACAAGTACTGTGTGTGGTTAATGCAGACATGATTCCTTGCAAAAAAGTTTGGTGTTTAAACGTCTTAACACCTCCTGTTTCATTGCCAGAAAGGGTAAAACATATACAGCAGGCGTTATATTTATCACCAGGTAAAGCCCCCACTGAGCCTGCTACGTAGCAGGCTCAGTGGGGGCTTGGCCATCACAAATGATAGCTCAGCGAAGTGGGCTCATCATCATCATCACCACCACGTGGAAATGTATAGCAACGGCCACATCCTCTACACACGCGAGATGTTGATTCTAAACGGGGAGCGGAAAACCGGAGGACCCGGAGGAAAATCCACGTGACCACGGGGAGAGAGAGAGAGAAATGGAAACTCCAAATATACAGCAGCAGGCGTCGTCAGGGTCGGGATCGAACCCACGAATCCCCTGTGTACCTGGCGAGGGAGTCAACATCTCCGAGCCACCGTGGCGTGCCCCTGTGGAGGGGTGGAAGGAGGGCGAAGGATCGAACACGGAGATTGGGCACAGGGAGGAGGAGGGACACAGCGAGACAGAGAGACACAGAGAGACAGAGAGAGACAGAGAGAGAGAGACAGAGAGAGAGACAGACAGAGACAGACAGAGAGAGAGACAGAGAGAGACAGAAAGAGAGACAGAGACAGACAGAGAGAGAGACAGAGAGACACAGAGAGACAGACAGAGACAGAGACAAGCACATAGAGAGACAAAGACAAACAGAGAGAGGCAAACACAGAGAGAGAGACAGAGAGAGACAGAGACAGAGAGAGACAGAGAGAGAGACAGAGACAGAGAGACAGAGAGAGACAGACAGAGATAGACAGAAGGACAGAAAGAGAGACAGAGAGACAGAGAGAGACATAGAGAGACAAAGACAAACAGAGAGAGACAAACACAGAGCGAGGCAGAGAGAGACAGAGACAGATAGAGAGAGACAGTGACAGAGAGAGAGAGACAGAGAGAGACAGATAGAGACAGACAGAGAGAGAGACAGAGAGAGACAGAAAGAGAGAGAGAGAGAGACAGAGAGATAGACAGAGAGAGGCTGAGAGGCTGGGAGAGAGACAGAGAGACAAATAGAGAAAGAGGCATAGAGAGAGAGACAGAGAGAGACAGAGAGAGGGACAAGAGAGAGGCTGAGAGAGACAGAGAGAGACAGAGAGAGACAGAGAGACAGAGAGAGTGACAGAGAGCTAGACAGAGAGAGGCTGAGAGGCTGGGAGGACAGAGAGACAGAGAGACAAACAGAGAAAGAGGCAGAGAGAGAGACAGCGAGAGACAGAGAGAGACAGAGAGACACAGAGAGACAAACAGAGAAAGAGGCAGAGAGAGAGAGACAGCGAGAGACAGAGAGAGACAGAGAGACAGAGAGAGAGACAGAGAGAGACAGAGAGAGAGAGACAGAGAAAGACAGAGAGAGAGACAGAGAGAGGCTAAGAGAGAGACAGAGATAGAGGGAAAGATGGAGAAGATTGGGAACGAAAAGGGCGAGAGGAAGGGACATGGAAGGAGATGAGAGTGGCACCATGAATACATCATGAAGTCATCGAACATAATTCACGTATTCACCTATGTAAAATTAACAAATGTATTGGACTCAAGGTTACATTAAATCCATCAAACATAATTCACCTACCGCACTCCATGCCTTTGAACAAACAACATACGTTCATATTCTTGGTTCTTTCGGTAAAGTCACCACGTAGAAGGGAAACAATAAAATAATAAAAAATATAAAACAATAAAATAATAAAAATATAAAATAATATTTTTCATTATTTTAATATAATAATATTTTTATTATTTTATTGTTTCCCTTCTACGTGGTGACTTTACCGAAAGAACCAAGAATATGAATCCCTGCAGTCACGAAAGCTTTAAATCAAAATTGAAACTTACGTTCGTATATTTTCGTTAAGTTCCTAGCGTTAGCTTCTGTTCCAGGGGGGGGGGGGGTTAAACCCCCCTCCCAAGGTTTCGGATGTCTGCTCTACCCTCGCTTCGACTGTCTGTTCCTTCGACGTGGAATCGAGGGCCTACAAACGCGTGACGGTCCCAGGACCTTGTCATTGGCCTTGCTAGCCTCTGGTCAAAATGCGGCCCAAGGCTGTAGCGTGTCCCTGACGATGTCGGGGTGTGTTCGGGTCGCCCAGAGCTGTGATGTTGAGTGAGCAAACAGCAATTTAAACTGAAACTGGGAGCCAGTGTAAGAGTGAAGTTACTTGACCTGGACACTTGCCAGGTAAGTTAGGGTTCATTAAGGAGGGCCGACAATATACGTTAGCCTCGCTAGCCTCTGGTTGAATCCGGCTCTGGCTGTAGCGTGTCCTTGATGATGTAAAGGGGGGGGAGGGACGGGGAGGGGTGGAGGGGCCGAGAGGCTGGGAGAGAATGGGCGATGGAGAAGAGGTGAGATTTGATAGATGAATGGAAGGAGATGAAGGAGATGGGGTGGACTGCTTCGTGTACAGGGGCAGTGATGAGTTTACAGGCAGTGCTGCTTCATGTACCTGTGAAAGTTAATTCCTAAAGACAAAACCACTTTTATTTGAGCAGGTAAAGCCCACCGCGCTGCTATACAGAGATTTTTCAGAAGCGACCTTGCTATCGCAAATGATAGCTCAGCAAAGTGGCTTATAGTCACGTGGAAATTTATAGTGGCCAATAACTCCAAACGCGTGACGTTGACTTTAAATGTGGAGCGAAAAACCGGGAGGGCCCAGAGAAAAATCCACGCGCCCATGGGGAGAGACACGCAAGCTCCAAATATACAGCAGCAGCAGCAGGCGTCAGGGTCGGGATCGAACCTACGACCTCCTGTATACCAGGCGAGGTAGTTAACATCTCCTAGCCACCGTGATGATGATGATGAGAGAGAGAGACACGCAAGCTCCAAATATACAGCAGCAGCAGGCGTCAGGGTCGGGATCGAACCCACGACCTCTGGTATACCAGGCGAGGTAGTTAACATCTCCTAGCCACCGTGATGATGATGATGATGAGAGAGAGAGACACGCAAGCTCCAAATATACAGCAGCAGCAGGCGTCAGGGTCGGGATCGAACCCACGACCTCCTGTATACCAGGCGAGGTAGTTAACATCTCCTAGCCACCGTGATGATGATGATGAGAGAGAGAGAGACACGCAAGCTCCAAATATACCGCAGCAGGCGTCAGGGTCGGGATCGAACCCACGACCTCCTGTATACCAAGCGAGTTAACGCCTCCTAGCCACCTTGGCGCTATGTTGCTGAGCGAGAGCAAACAGCAATTCAAACTGAACCCTACGAGAAACCGGGAGCCAGTGAACAGTGAAAGTTACTTGACCTGGACACTGCCCGAGAAGTGGATGGCCTAAAGCAGCGCCTACACCATATGAGGGCCTCAAGCCTTCTCATGGGCTTGCTGGCCGAGGTCGGTCACCGAAAAACAACAAGAAGAGCCATTTCTTTTTAGAATTAAGTTTAAAAAAACGAAAACAAAAACACAAAACCAACGTCTCAATATTTCAGCAATGGCCCGTGGTGACTACGAGACGGCGGTCGTGGGTCCTTAATAGACGACGTCGCGAAGAGCCATCACGCGGCTGCGGAGCCACAGGGGGTGCAGACGCCTGACCTAGGGGGAGTCAGTCGGGACCCGGAGCTCAGGAGGAGGAGGAGGAGCGTGCACGGGGTGATCCCGCTCGTGTTGTTGATTGGAGTGCAGCCGAGCCGGCGGGGGGGGGGGGGGGGGCGCTGTCACCTCGTCAGCGAGCCGGGGGGGGGGGTCACCTCGTCAGCGAGCCGGGGGGGGGTCACCTCGTCAGCCAGCCGGGGGGGGGGGTCACCTCGTCAGCGAGCCGCGCACCTCTCTGTGCTCGTGCGACGTCCGTGCGGGGGGTTTGGTGGCGAGCAGCGCCGTCGCCGCCGCCGCCGCCGCCGCGGCCGCGGCATAGGGGAGAAAGCGGCTGCCGACCCCGGCGCCGACCCCGGCGCCGGTCCCACCGCACGACCCAGGGACCGCGAAACCGGCGGCGCCCCCGGCCGGCGTGGGCGAGCGGTCCGGGTTGCCCCGCTCGCCCACGCTCGCCGCCGCCCCCGCCGCCCCCGCCGCGTCCGAGCGGTGACCTGCCGCTCTCCCGCCCGCAGCCACCGCCGCGTGAGTGCACGCCACGCACGGGCACGGAGGCAGCGCGTGGAACGGGGGGTACGGGGGCGGCGGCGGCGGGGGCGGCGCGCGGAACCCGCACAGCAGCTCAGGCCGAGGGTACCCCCCGCCGTGCCCGAGGGCCCGGAACGGGTCCAGGGGCCGCAGCAGGGCCACTGGGTACAGGCCACCGCCACCGCCGCCGCCGCCGCCGCCGGTGTGGTGAGCAGGCACGAGGTGCTGGTGGTGCTGCTCGTGGTGGTGGTGTTGGTGGTGCTGCTGCTGCTGGTGGTGGTGGTGGTGCTGCAGGTGAGCCGGCAGGTGAGCTGCGGGGAAGGCGTAAGGGAGGCCCGCGGTGGCGGCCGCGGCGGCGGCAGCGGTGGCCTGGGTGACCATGTAGGAGTAGAAGCCGGCCGGGTCCGACGGGGCAGGCCACGTCACGGACAGACGCTGTCGCTTGTCCTTCATTCGCCGGTTTTGGAACCACACCTTCCGGGGGGGGGGGGGGGGAATAAGGGTAGGGGCGGGTGGTGCAACTGCCGGTCATCTCAGCCACTCAACCCATGGCACCACGTGGCCACACGCACCTTGATGGCACACATCTCTACTCTCTCACGATGATACATTCGGTGGACCCCACGTGGACACCACGTGGGGTCCACCATCTCACGACGACACCACGTGGACACCACGTGGCTCCACCATCTCACGGGGACCCCACGTGGACACCACATGGCTCCACCATCTCACGGGGACCCCACGTGGACACCACGTGGCTCCACCATCTCACGACGACCCCACGTGGACACCACGTGGCTCCACCATCTCACGACGACCCCACGTGGACACCACGTGGCTCCACCATCTCACGACGACCACACGTGGACACCACGTGGCTCCACCATCTCACGACGACCCCACGTGGACACCACGTGGCTCCACCATCTCACGACGATCCCACGTGCTCACCACGTGGCTCCACCATCTCACGACGACCCCACGTGGACACCACTCACCTTGATGGTCGTCTCGGGCAGGTTGAGGGCCGCTGCCAGCTCGCACCGGCGAGGCCTCGAGACGTAGTTCTCGCGGTAGAACTCCTTCTCCAGGCGCCCGATCTGCTCGCGCGTGAAGGCCGTGCGGTAGCGGCGCGCCTGGTCTGACCCCGTGGGACACGCGGTGGACACGTGGGGCCCACCGCCACCGCCAACACCACCACCACTCACGCCGGTGGAACTGTCCCTTGTGATGTTGAAGGGCAACCCTCCTCGAGTACCACCAAATGCACCTCCACCTCCGTCTCCTCCTCTGTCCACACAGACGCTCCGGTTCGCTCCGTCGCTCGCGGATGGGTGCGTCTCGCATTCCGTGAGCGCTGTGGGGAAACGGGACGGGTATAAAGGCAAAGGTTCCCCGTGCGGTCTTCACAGAATCATCAGCAGGGCCAGTGCAATGCTGTATAGGCGTGGACACAATATCACCCTGAGTAGATTTGCAGACTGGTGGTTGAGCACCCTTGAAGGGAATTGATGTGGGCAGCACTCCCCAGTGTGGATGCTCACGGCAGGTACTCATTTAAGGTTGAGTCGACCTAGTGGAGGCTGATAACCGGTTCAGATATTCGCCACGGTCATTCGTCGTCAGGGTCGCCCGGTTCGTAGCGCTAACCACACCGTGCTAACGCTACTGACGCACGCTGGAAGACACGCACTCACTGACAACAACAACAACCGTCATTCGCCACTAAGTGGCGGTGACGTCACCACGTGAAGTGTCGAACGCCCACTGGCAGGAGGTCACGGGGCAGACCCAAGTGCCACGGGTCGACTGACTAAGATGACTGAGATGACTAGCTGATGCACCACCTGTGCCCCCTACTGTGCCAACCCGCTGTGCTTTAGCCACCCGGCGCTCCGCTCATTGTTGTGAGCGTCGCTCCTCCGCCCTCCGTTGTTGTTGGAGGGCGACTGCCTCCAACTGCCCAGTAGCGTCCTTCACGAGCCTCCTCCACAGAGGCCGATCTTGACATCGCTGGTACCAGTCATTGGCAAGTCCACTCAGCTCCACGTCCTCCTGTACCACATCACTCCATCTCGTCTCTAGCCCGTGCCGCGCCCACTTAGCCCCCTCTATCTGGTCGAACAAAAGCTGTTTCGGCATGTGGTGGCTGGGCATGCGGGCGACATGACCCAGCCAACGCAGCCTTGCCTGTCGGAGGAACTCACCGATGGGACCTTATCCAGATCTTTCAAGGATTTGTGAGCGCCTCACACAATCCAGCCTGGTTAAACCCAGGATGGATCGTAGGCAGGCTAGCCTAAATGTTTATAACCGGTGAAGATGTTCCATTAAGGGGGTCCACGTTTCGCAAGCGTAGAGAAGGGAGGGAATGAGCGTGGCCGAGAAGACCTGAAGCTTAGTGCGGAGTTGACAGACCAGGTAGCTTCCACACAGCGTTACGCAACCGATGAAAATATATTGCCGCTCGACTGATTCGGAGTGAGACCTCTGCTGTTAAACTGGAGCCGGCCATAAGCACAGTGCCCAGGTATGGGAAACTCCACTCTCTCCACAACTGCCCCATCACCGATTGGGAGTTGTGGGGGTGGAGTGTCCGATGGTACAAAATACCCAGGCAGGTGCTTAGTTTTGGTGGGGCTGATGGTAAGGCCCCATCTCTTAGTGGCACACTCCAGTCTCAGCAGCAGCGTCTCCAACTCCTCTTCTGAATGAGCAGCTATTACGAAATCATCGGCATACATAACGTGGTTGAGCAATAGGGAGCCATCCCTTGACCGCACCTGGGCATCGATCAGCCTCCCATTATATCTGTACGAAATGGAGATTCCCCCAGTACAGCTATTGAAGGCTTCACGAACTACGTGGTCAAAATAGATGTCAAATAATGTGGGAGCCAGAGGGCATTCCTGTCGCACCCCAAGGTGTACAGGGAATGGCTCTGACTCTCGGCCACGTAGTTTTACCCGGGCCCGCTCACCATCATGAAGGTCCTTAATGATCGTGAGCAGAGGGTCAGGGAGTCCAAAAGCACGAAGAACAACCCAGAGCCCAGACCTACTGATGGTATCATAGGCCTTGACCAGGTCAATAAAGCAGAGATGTAGGTCTTGCTGGAATTCCCCACACCTCTGCTGTAGCAGACGGACAGAAAATATGGCATCTGTGCAGGACCGCCCTTTCCTGAAACCGCATTGGGGCTCCGCAAGCCTCTCCTCAGCGTGCCTGGCAAGGCGATGTTGAATAATCCTTGCCAGGACCTTTCACGGAACAGTGAGGAGTGAGATGCCCCTGTAGTTGTTAGAGTCTGTGCGGTCCCCCCTTCTTAAAGAGGGGGACCACCAGGGCATCCTTCCAATCCTGCGGAACCCGTCCAGTGGTCCAGACTGTTGTTATGGTGTCAAATAGGGCAGTCTGTGCACAAATGCCACCCTCCCTCAGCATGTCGCTTGGGAGATCATCTCTGCCCGGTGGCATTCCTGGTCTCAGACTCCGGATCGCCTTCAGTACTTCCTCAATAGATGGCACCTCGGCCAGCCACTCACAGGGGGTGACTTCTTCCAATATTTGAGGCACAGCAGCCTCAGCAGGGTCATCCCCACTTTGTGCCACGATGTTTTCCTGGCTGAGAGATTTCCCCTCCCCCAGGACCTCACAGAAATGCTCAGCAAATCTGCACACCTGTTCCTGGGGGTCGGAGATTGGATCACCGTTCTTTCCCCTAATGATGGTAATAGGTGTGGCGCTGCAGGTTACTTTATTGATGGAGTTGAATTGGGATTTGTAATCTCGGGCCATTGAGGCAGACTCCATCTCCTCAGCAACCCGCGACCACCACCCATCCTTGCAGCGCCTCACGGCTCTCGGAACCTCTGAGCGAATGCTGCGGTAAGCCTCCTCATTCTCTGACGTGGGATGCTGTAGCGGATGAGAGTGGGCTTGTCGCTTTTTCTCAACTAACTTGAACACCTCCTCTGTCAGCCAGGGTCTCTGGGGAGGTCTGGACCGCGTACCCAAAGCAGCCATTGCAGCTGCTTTGGGTACATTGACATCGACACACAGACACTGACACACACTGACACACACACTGACACACACACTGGCACAGACTCACCGACAGACACTGACACCCACTGACTGACACACACACTGACACCGACACAGACACTGACACTCACTGACACACACACTGACACTCACTGACACACACACAGACACTGACACTCACTGACACGCATTGACACCGACACCAATGAAGACTCACTGACACACACATTGACACACACATTGACACACACTGACACTCACACTGACACTGACACTCACTGACACTCACTAACACACACTAACACTGACACTCACTGACACACACACTGACACACACACTGACACACACATTGACACTGACACTCACTGACACACACACACAGTGACACACACACACTGACACTCACTGACACACACTCACTGACACACACACTGACACACACACTGACACACACACTGACACTGACACTCACTGACACACACACACTGACACACACTGACACACACACTGACACACTCACTGACACACACATTGACACTGACACACACTGACACACACACACTGACACACACTGACACACACACTGACACACACACTGACACACACACTGACACACACTGACACACACAGACACTGACACTCACTGACTCACACAGACACTGACACTCACTGACACACATTGACACACACAAAGACACTGACACACACTGACACTCACTGACACTCACTGACACACACACTGACACACACACACTGACACTCACTGACACACACACTGACACACACACTGACACACACATTGACACACACATTGACACTGACACACACTGACACACATTGACACACTGACACCGACACAGACACTGACACACACTGACACACACACACTGACACCGACACAGACACTGACACACACTGACACACACACACTGACACACACACACTGACACCGACACAGACACACACACACTGACACACACACTGACACACACATTGACACTGACACACACTGACACACACACACTGACACACTCTCCCAGGAGCTTACGTCTCCTCTCCGTGCATCGCACCGAGGTGGCGCAGAATTCCTCTTCCGCGCTCCGTCTCTCCTCTTCTACGTCGATCATCTCCTCCTCCACCTCCTCCTCCACCTCCTCTCCCACCTCCTCCACCTCCTCTCCCACCTCCTCCACCTCCCCCACCTACTACCTCTTCGACTTCTCGCTGCAGCAGAAGCAGCGACCACAGCAGTGGATACAGGAATAGCTGCAACAGCAGTCGAAGCATCAGTAGCAGTACCAGGACCAACAGTAGCAGCAGAAGTACCAGTAGCAGCAGCGGTAGCAGCAGTATCAGTACCAGCAGCAGTAGCAACAGCTGTAGCGGCAGCACTAGCAGCAGTATCAGTAGGAACAGGAGCACCAGCAGTAGTAGAAGCAGTACCAGTAGCAGTATCAGTACCAGCAGCAGTAGCAACAGCTGTAGCAGCAGCACTAGCAGCAGTATCAGTAGTAACAGGAGCACCAGCAGTAGTAGAAGCAGTACCAGTAGCAGCAGCAGTAGCAGCAGCATCAGCAGCACATTAGTATCAGTAGTAGCAGCAGCACAGTAGTATCAGTAGTAGCAGCAGCATCAGCACAGTAGTATCAGTAGTAGCAGCAGCATCAGCACAGTAGTATCAGTAGTACCAGTAGTAGCAGCAGTGGTATCAGCAGTGGCAGGATCAGGAGCAGCAGTCTCAGCAGTAGGCGGATCTTTATCACTGGTAGTAGGAAACGTAGTGGACTGGAAGCCCAACCGGGATTAATTCTCACAGGAGGCAGGGGATTAATTGTGTATGTCTGTGGATGTCTGTCCACGTGTATCCGGACGCCCGGATAAAATGGGAGAGGGGAGGGTGGGGAGGGGTTGGGTGGGGAGGGTGGGGCTGGGTGGGGGGTGGGGAGGGTGGGGCTGGGTGGGAGGGGTGGGGCTGGGTGGGGAGGGGCTGGTCACCCCGTGGTGCCCTTATAAAACTCAACGTTTAACCTACTCACGCCGGCTTGTGCCCGCCCTCACAGTCGGGCATATTTGCGGAATACACCACGTGGTGGTGCCGCCGTTGACCCTGCCCATTGACCGAGCAACCCAACGTTCCTACCAGCCCCTCCCTCTACAGGAGAATGTGTTCCTACTACCAGCCCCTCCCCCCATAGGAGAATGTGTTCCTACTACCATCCCCTCTCTCCACAGGAGAATGTGTTCCTACCAGTTCCCCCCTCCACAGGAGAATGTGTTCCTACTACCAGCTCCTCCCTCCACAGGAGAATGTGTTCCTACCAGTTCCTCTCTCCACATGAGAATGTGTTCCTACTACCAGCTCCCCCCCACAGGAGAATGTGTTCCTACTACCAGCCCCCCCCTCCACAGGAGAATGTGTTCCTACCAGTTCCCCCCTCCACAGGAGAATGTGTTCCTACTACCATCCCCTCTCTCCACAGGAGAATGTGTTCCTACTACCAGCCCCTCCCTCCACAGGAGAATGTGTTCCTACCAGTTCCTCTCTCCACATGAGAATGTGTTCCTACTACCAGCTCCCCCCTCCACAGGAGAATGTGTTCCCACTACCAGCTCCCCCCCACAGGAGAATGTGTTCCCACTACCAGCTCCCCCCTCCACAGGAGAATGTGTTCCTACCAGTTCCTCTCTCCACATGAGAATGTGTTCCTACTACCAGCTCCCCCCCACAGGAGAATGTGTTCCCACTACCAGCTCCCCCCTCCACAGGAGAATGTGTTCCTACCAGCTCCCCCCTCCACAGGAGAATGTGTTCCCACTACCAGCTCCCCCCTCCACAGGAGAATGTGTTCCTACCAGCTCCCCCCTCCACAGGAGAATGTGTTCCTACTACCATCCCCTCTCTCCACAGGAGAATGTGTTCCTACTTCCAGCCCCTCCCTCCACAAGAGAATGTGTTCCTACTACCAGCCCCTCCCTCCACAGGAGAATGTGTTCCTACCATCCCCTCTCTCCACAGGAGAATGTGTTCCTACTACCAGCTCCCCCCCACAGGAGAATGTGTTCCTACCAGCTCCCCCCTCCACAGGAGAATGTGTTCCTACTACCATCCCCTCTCTCCACAGGAGAATGTGTTCCTACTACCAGCCCCTCCCTCCACAGGAGAATGTGTTCCTACCAGTTCCTCTCTCCACATGAGAATGTGTTCCTACTACCAGCCCCTCCCTCCACAGGAGAATGTGTTCCTACCAGTTCCTCTCTCCACATGAGAATGTGTTCCTACTACCAGCTCCCCCCTCCACAGGAGAATGTGTTCCCACTACCAGCTCCCCCCTCCACAGGAGAATGTGTTCCTACCAGCTCCCCCCCTCCACAGGAGAATGTGTTCCTACTACCATCCCCTCTCTCCACAGGAGAATGTGTTCCTACTACCAGCTCCCCCCCACAGGAGAATGTGTTCCTACTACCAGCTCCCCCCCACAGGAGAATGTGTTCCTACTACCATCCCCTCTCTCCACAGGAGAATGTGTTCCTACTACCAGCCCCTCCCTCCACAGGAGAATGTGTTCCTACCAGTTCCTCTCTCCACATGAGAATGTGTTCCTACTACCAGCCCCTCCCTCCACAGGAGAATGTGTTCCTACTACCAGCTCCTCTCTCCACAGGAGAATGTGTTCCTACTACCAGCCCCTCCCTCCACAGGAGAATGTGTTCCTACCAGCTCCCCCCCACAGGAGAATGTGTTCCTACTACCAGCCCCTCCCTCCACAGGAGAATGTGTTCCTACTACCAGCCCCTCCCTCCACAGGAGAATGTGTTCCTACTACCAGCCCCTCCCTCCACAGGAGAATGTGTTCCTACTACCAGCTCCCCCCCACAGGAGAATGTGTTCCTACTACCAGCCCCTCTCTCCACAGGAGAATGTGTTCCTACTACCAGCCCCTCCCTCCACAGGAGAATGTGTTCCTACTACCAGCTCCCCCCCACAGGAGAATGTGTTCCTACTACCAGCCCCTCCCTCCACAGGAGAATGTGTTCCTACTACCAGCCCCTCCCTCCACAGGAGAATGTGTTCCTACTACCAGCCCCTCCCTCCACAGGAGAATGTGTTCCTACTACCAGCTCCCCCCCACAGGAGAATGTGTTCCTACTACCAGCCCCTCTCTCCACAGGAGAATGTGTTCCTACTACCAGCCCCTCCCTCCACAGGAGAATGTGTTCCTACTACCAGCCCCTCCCTCCACAAGAGAATGTGTTCCTACTACCAGCCCCTCCCTCCACAGGAGAATGTGTTCCTACTACCAGCCCCTCCCTCCACAGGAGAATGTGTTCCTACTACCAGCCCTTCCCTCCGCAGGAGAATGTGTTCCTACTACCAGCCCTTCCCTCCACAGGAGAATGTGTTCCTACTACCAGCCCCTCCCTCCACAGGAGAATGTGTTCCTACTACCAGCCCCTCCCTCCACAGGAGAATGTGTTCCTACTACCAGCCCCTCCCTCCACAGGAGAATGTGTTCCTACTACCATCCCCTCTCTCCACAGGAGAATGTGTTCCTACTACCAGCCCCTCCCTCCACAGGAGAATGTGTTCCTACCAGCTCCCCCCTCCACAGGAGAATGTGTTCCTACTACCATCCCCTCTCTCCACAGGAGAATGTGTTCCTACTACCAGCCCCTCCCTCCACAAGAGAATGTGTTCCTACTACCAGCCCCTCCCTCCACAGGAGAATGTGTTCCTACTACCAGCCCCTCCCTCCACAGGAGAATGTGTTCCTACTACCAGCCCCTCCCTCCACAGGAGAATGTGTTCCTACTACCAGCCCCTCCCTCCACAGGAGAATGTGTTCCTACCAGCTCCCCCCCACAGGAGAATGTGTTCCTACCAGCTCCCCCCTCCACATGAGAATGTGTTCCTACCAGCTCCTCCCTCCGCAGGAGAATTTGTTCTCCGAGTTGCAATTCCCTAAGCATCTCGGAGCTCACACGTCCCTTGCTGCTGATGATGCTGCTGATGATGATGATGCGGATCATACTGCTAATGATGATTTTGCTGCTGCTGATGATTATGTTGCTGATGATGATTATTATGCTGCTGATGCTGCTAATGATGATGATGCTGCTGCCGGGCCACGTGGCCCTCCCGGAGGGACACGTGGTCCTCCCGGAGGGACACGTGGTCCTCCCGGAGGGACACGTGGTCCTCCCGGAGGGACACGTGGTCCTCCCGGAGGGACACGTGGTCCTCCCGGAGGGACACGTGGTCCTCCCGGAGGGACACGTGGCCCTCCCGGAGGGACACGTGGCCCTCCCGGGCCTCCCCGCGCCACGCGGCCCAGGATGGGACGAGCGGGGGGTGGGGGGGGGGGCCTCTCTGGGCGGCCGCTGTTCGTGTCTCTGCCCGCCCGTGTCTCCGTGTCTCTGTGTCTCCGTCTGTGTATTTGTCTCCCCATGTGGCAGTGCCTGTGCGTCCGTCGCCAGCATTATCTGTTCGTCTACGCCGTTGAGTGAGACCACGTCTGAGTAGTGATTATTAAATGTTGGGGGTCGTGAGATGGGATCGATTTTTCCCACTCCGTAATTTTTTTTTTAATATTGCAATCGTTAGAAATTGTTGTCGATCCATTTCTGCACATAGACACCGAGACAGCCACAACTTCCTCTGTCCCACAGCAGTGGCGAGTCACGCGGCTCTCCACGGTCCCGGTCCGAGTCATCGTTCGCACTCTGTCCGTCCTGCTCGACACAGTCCCACGGTGTTTGGTGGACAGTCATAGCCTCGTGGTGGTGGTGATGGTGGTTGGGTGGTGATGGTGGTGGTTGGGTGGTGGTGGTGGTGGTGATGGTGGTTGTGGTGGTGATGGTGGTTATGGTGGTTGGGGGTGGTGGTGTTTGGGTGGTGGTGGTGATGGTGATTGTGGTGGTGGTTATGGTGGTTATGGTGGTTGGGGGTGGTGGTGATGGGGATGGTAATGGTGGTTGGGGGTGGTGGTGGTGGTGATGGTGGTTGGGTGGTGGTGGTGATGATAGTTGTTGGGGGTGGTGGTGGTTGGGTGGTGGTGGTGATGGTGGTTGGGTGGTGGTGGTGGTGATGGTGGTGATGGTGGTTGGGGGTGGTGGTGATGGTGGTTGG